TAAAAATACAAAAATTAGCTGGGCATGGTGGCGCAGCCTGTAGTCCCAGCTACTTGGGAGACTGAGGTAGGAGAATTGCTTGAACCCAGGAGGCGGAGGTTGTGGTGAGCCGCGATCACGCCATTGCACTCCAGCCTGGGTAATAAGAGCAAAACTCCGTCTCAAAAAAATAAAAAATAAATAAATAAAAATAAATTAGCCAGGCTTGGTGGCACAACTGTAATCCCAGCTACTCAGGAGGCTGAGATGAGAGAATCACTTCAACCCAGGAGGCAGAGGTTGCAGTGAGGGAAGACTGTGCCATTGCACTCCAGCCTGGGTGACAGAGAGAGACTCTCTCTGCTGAAAGGAAAAAAAAAAAGAAAGACCAGCCTAGGCAATGTAATGAGACACCGTGGTGCATGCTTTAGTCCCATGTAGTCCAGGCTATTTAGGAGGCTGATGTGGGAGGATCACCTGAGCCCAGGAGTTCATACATGCAGTGAGCTGTGACTAGACCCCAGCCTGGGTGACAGAAAGAGACCCCATCTCTTAAAAAAAAAAAAAAAGTAAAATAAAGGAAAAAAAGTGCTGCTGCATATAGAGTGGTCTCTAGGGAGAGAGCCTGGTGGTGGGAGGATGGCGTGGGACGGGGACTGGAAGGTGCAGTGGCCCAGGCTGAGGGACGCTGATATCCTGAGCCAGGCCAATTCGTGGTGCAGAAGGGAAGAGGTGGCCCTGTGCAGGAGATACTAAAGAGGCAGTCTGACCAGGTGAGGGGATGGAGACAGTGATGGAGAGAGAGGGCCCTTCGTCAACCACACCCAGGCCTGCAGTCTGAGGGACTGGATGGGCCAAAGTGCTGTCCCCTAGAGTGGGGGAACAGAGTTGGAAAAAAGACTGGGAACTGGGGTACTGTTTGGGACAGACGGAGTTTGGGTCCAGGCGGGAATCTGAGATGTCAGGTTTCCAAAAAGAGGGAGTGGGTGGCTGGGTGCGGTGGCTCATGCCTATAATCCCAGCACTTTGGGAAGCCAAGAGGAACAGATCACTTGAGGTTAGGAGTTCGAGATTAGTCTGGCCAACATGGTGAAACCCTGTCTCTACTAAAAATACAAAAATTAGCGGAGCATGGTGGTGTGCGCCTGTAATCCCAGTTACTCCAAAGGCTGAGGCAGGAGAATCACTTGAACCCAGGAGGCAGAAGCTGCAGTGAGCAGAGATGATACCACTGCACTGCAGCCTGGGTGACAGTGCAAGACTCCGAGAGGGAGTGGTCCATGAGTTCAGCTGCTGAAGGAAGGCTGAACCCTCTCTCAGGTGAGGTATGAGGAGGAAGTGTCCACTCAGGGGAGTGGTTGGAGGACTCTGGTCTCTGTAGGATCCATCTTGGTGTGGGTCAAGCAGAGAATGGAAGGAAGGGAGGAGTGAGACAGGGAACAAGGCGAACATTTCCATTCAAGAGGCCTGGAGGAAGATTGTGAGTTACGGCCACAGCTGGAGGCCACAGGGGTGCCTTGGTGCTTTCTTATCTTTGGCTGGGGGAGATCCAAGAATGGAAGGAAGAGCCCAGAAGAGAGGGAGGATGGGGATCCAGGTAGGGGGAGGGGACCGGTGTACCACTCAGTCTGTTCACCTTGCTCACTGCTGGACAGAACCGATTTATCAAGACAGGGGAATTGCCTTGGAGATGCAGGGCTGGCTGTGTGGGAGCCCAGAGTTTTATTATTACTTAAATTGGTCTCCCCAAGCATTCGGGGATCAGAGCTTTTAAAGGTAATTTGGCAGGTAGAGGCTTGGGAAGTGGGGAATGCTGACTGGCCAGGCTAGAGATGGAATCATAGGGAGTGAAGTTAGGTTTTCTTAATATCTTCTGTACCTGGAAGCGATGGTAGAACTGGTTGGGCCAGATTACCGGTCTGGGTGGTGTCAGCTGATCCATTGAGTGTAGGGTCTGCAAAATATCTCAAGCACTGATTTTAGGTTTTACAACAGCGATGTTACCCCCAGGAGCAATATGGGGAGGTTCAGACTCTTGGAGCGGGAAGCTGCATAACCCCTAAATTGTCATTTCTAATCTTGTGGCTAATTTGTTAGTCCTGCAAAAGCAGACTGGTCCCCATGCAAGAAGGGGGTCTTTTTGGGAAAGGGCTGTTACCAATTTTGTTTCAGAGACAAACCATGAGCTGAATTCCTTCCCAAAGTTAGTTCGGCCTATGACCAGAAATGAACAAGGACAGCTTAAGGGTTAGAAGCAAGATAGAGTCGGGTACGTCTGACTTCTTTCACTGTCATAATTTCCTCAGTTATGATTTTGCAAAGGTGGTTTCCCAGGGGCAGTTCTGTTGAGGAGGGTGCGCCTCCTGAGGCTGGCTGACTGCAGAGGTAGAAGGTTTGGTGTGGAGGCTGGAAATGAGAGTTCCCAGGTAATGGCTTCTATTTTCTCCAAAAAGTAGGGGAGAGGGGCAGTGGAACGGGGACTTGAGCAGACTGGAGGCTTTCTTTTTCTTTGAGACAGAGTCTCACTCAGTTGTCAGACTGGAGTGCAGGAACACAACCTCGTTTCACTGCAACCTTCTCAGCCTCCCAGGTTGAAGCAATTCCCCTGCTTCATCCTCCCCAGTAGCTGGGATTACAGGCACACACTGTCATGCCTGGCTAATTTTTTATATTTTAGTGGAGACAGGGTTTCACCATGTTGGCCAGGATGGTCTCAATCTCCTGACCTCGATCACCAGCCTCAGCCTCCCAAAGTGCTGGGATTATAGGTGTGAGCGGCTGTTCCTGGCCGTTTTTTTGTTTTGTTTTGTTTTTTTCCCCAGGGACAGAGTCTCACTCTGTTGCCCAGGCTGGAGTGCAGTGGCACAATCTCAGCTCACTGCAACGTCTGCCTTCTGGGTTCAAGTGATTCTCCTGCCTCAGCCTCCCAAGTGGCTGGGACTACAGGCATGTGCCACCACACCCAGCTAGGTTTTGTGTTTTGTATTTTTAATAAAGATTATGTTTCTCTTGCTGGCCTCAAACTCCTGGCCTCAGGTGATCCGCTCACCTCAGCCTCCCAAAGTCCTGATATTACAGGCCTGAGCCACCTCACCTCGAAGACTGCAGGCATTTGAAATGCCACTGAGGAGAATGGGCAGGGGACACAGGCAAACAGGATTCCTGGGCTGTGTGAGAGCCCAGCTGAAAGTAGAGACCCTGAATTTGCCGCAGCCCCAACCTGCCCAAAAACTAGATGGGTGTTGGGTTTTCCAGACAAGTGTGATGGGAAAACCCTAAGACAAGAGAGTTAGTGACAGGCTGGACTATTGGGGAGGATGGGAGGACTTCAAGGTAGAGGAAGACTTGAGGCCAGGGAAGAATCTAGAAGCCCCCATCTTAGTCCATTTGGGATGCTATAACAACATATCTTAGACTGCGTAGTGTATAAACAAAAGAAATTTATCAGCCAGGCACGGTGGGTCACCCCTGTAATCCCAGCACTTTAGGAGGCCGATGCAGGCAGATCACAAGGTCAGGAGTTCAAGACCAGCCTGGCCAACATGGTAAAACCTCATCTCTACTAAAAATACAAAAATTAGTAAGGCGTGGTGGCACATGCCTGTAGTCCCAGCTACTCCGGAGGCTGAGGCAGAAGAGTCACTTGAACTCGGGAAGCAGAGGTTGTAGTGAGCCGAGATCCCACCACTGCATTCCAGCCTGGGTGACAGAGCAAGATTCCATCCCAAAAAGAAAAGGAAGAAGAAATTTATTGCTTATAGTTCTGGGGGTTGGGAGATCCAAGCTCAGGGCACCAGCGGATTCGGTGTCTGGCAAGGGCTTGTTCATCATACATGGGGCCTTCTAGCTGTGTCCTCAGGTGGCAGAAGGGGCGAACAAGTTCCCTAGGCCCCTTTTATAAGGGCACTAGTTCCATTCATGTGGGTGAGCCCACCCAATCACCTCCTAATCAACTCCCAAAGTCCCCGCCTCTTAATACCCTGACCTTAGTGATTAGGTTTCAACATATGAGTTTTGGGGGTCATGGACATTCAGACCATAGCACCCTCGGACCAATAGGACAGGCAGAGGCTCTAGAATGACTCTGGGGTGGGTGAACTTGGGGACACTGCTTTGGTTTAGAAAGGGAATCCCTTGGGCTGGGTGAGGTGGCTCACACCTGTAATCCCAGCACTTTGGGAGGCCGAGGCAGGCGGATCACGAGGTCAGGAGTTCAAGACTAGCCTGACCAACAGAATGACACCTGTCCTGTCTCTACTAAAAATACAAAAATTAGCCAGACCTGGTGGGTGCTCCTGTAATTTCAGCTACTCGGGAGGCTGAGGCAGGAGAATCGCTTGAACCCGGGAGGTGGAGGTTGCAGTGAGCTGAGATCATGCCACTGTACTCCAGCCTGGGCAACAGAGCAAGGCTCCATCTCAAAAAAAAAAAAAAAAAGAAAAGAAAAAGGGAATCCCTTTTATGCGGCTGTGAGTGGCTTTCCACTAGGGGCTACAGTGCGGTTGGGGGAGGGTCTCTGGCAACTCTCCAGGATGCTTTTTTTTTGTTGTTATTTTTTATTTCATTCCACAGCCTGTAATCTAGGATGCTTCTCATTATAGGGCCGATGGCCTAGAAATGGCCTCAAATGGAAGCTGTGAAGCGATCCTGGTGGAGGCTTTGGAAGCTGGGCCTCCACCAGGATCAGGACTTCAGGGTTCAGTGCGCAGGTACTGCCCCTGCACTAGGTAAGTCCCTTCCTCCATGGACCCCCCAGCCCTCCAGTTCCAGTGGAGATAGTGTGCACAGCCCTAGCTCCCCTCTCTGACCCTGGAAAGAGGCTGAAGGGAGACCCCGTGGAGTTCCTAGGAAAGGAGACCTTCCCGGCGGTGGGAGGGGGAAGTGGAGAGCCTCTCTCTCCTCCAGTCCCGTCTTCCCAGCCCCAGGGCAGAGCTCTTCCTGTGTGTCAGGCTCCATGGCAGGGTGGGGGGGTGGGGGAAGCTGTCAGTGCATCATTCTCTGGAGGAATCCTGCAAGCCCTCCCAAATGGGTGATGTTGTCAGCCCCATTTGGGGAAAGTGACCTGTCTCGGGTTGGTTGTGGACGCCCAGCTCCATCCCATTTGTGGTGCCACCAGGCCTCTCCCTTTTCTGCTCCTCTCCGGAGAGGCTGGAGAGTCCTTTCCCTCCCAGCAGGGTCCTAAGGACACTGGCGGTGCCCCAGGGGAGCCAACATCCCCTGCTTTGGAGGGCGGCTAGGTCGCTGTGAGCAGCTCCGTGGTGTCCCCTTGTTCTACACTCAGACTAAGAGAGGGCTGTGTGTTTTGTTTGTTTGTTTCTTTTTGAGACGATGTCTCGTTCTGTCACCCAGGCTGGAGCACAGTGGCACGATCTCGGCTCACTGCAACCTCCGCCTCCCAGGTTCAAGCTATTCTCCTGCCTCAGCCTCCAGAGTGGCTCGGGTTACAGTCGTGCGCCACCACACCCGGCTAATTTTTGTATTTTTAGTAAAGATGGGGGTTTCACCATGTTGACCAGGCTGGTCCTGAACTTCCGACCGCAGGTGATTCGCCCGCCTCGGCCTCCTAAGTGCTGGGATTACAGGCGTGAACCACCGCGCCCAGCCCGGCTGTGCTCTTAAAGGGCCGGAGCAATGCTGGTGCTGGCGACCGAGGCGAGGAGGTGATGCGCAGGGGACTTCAGTCGCAGAACGCCGCGGGAGTACAAACCCAGGTCGGAGGATCCCTCCGCGCCCCCCACGCAGGTATCGATCTCGGGCCCTGGCGTGGCCCGATTGGTCTGAGGAGCTGGCGCCGGGGCCGCCAGAGGGCGCCCGGGGTGAGGGGGAGGAGGGGACGCGAGCCGGGGAAGCCCAGGGAGGGCGCCGCCCTGCGGGGGTCTGCAGCTCTGGTCCGAGGGTCGGCTGCATGGGTCGGGGAATCTGGATTCCGTGGGTTCAACGCCCAGGGGTTCCAAGAGCCCCGACAGTTCTCGGACGCCCGGCAGGCTCCGACGCACTCGGCCCAGCACCCCTCCCCCGTCACCGTCCTCGGGCCCCTCCCCGGTCGCCTCTCCGGGCGGGGCTGCTCCCGGGTCAAGGCTGGCGCGGGTCTTCGGGCCCTGGCCCTCCGGTGCCCCAGGCCGAGGACAGAAAACTTGAGCATCCACACGCAGGGGTAGAGAGTGGGGGCCACTCTGGGGGTGCACTGCCCCGCCCCCTCTGGGTCCGCCTCGGCCCCACCCGGGCCTCAGGCCCCGCCCCCTCCCCTCGGCCGGAGAGCCCCGGGGGCCGCTGCAGCCGCCAGAGTGCCCGCCATGCGCGCTGCCCCCGCTGCGCGGCTGCTCAAGCTGCTGCTCCTGCTGGGGTCGTGGCTGGAGGCTCCGGGTGTTGCGGAGTCACCGCTGCCCGCTGTGGTCCTTGCCATCCTGGCCCGCAATGCCGAGCACTCACTGCCCCACTACCTGGGCGCGCTGGAGCGGCTGGACTACCCTAGGGCCAGGCTGGCCCTCTGGTGAGAGACCCGGGCATTGGCACCCAGTGGGCACCTAACCCCCAGCCTTGCAGGCGGCCCCTGCCCCTGGTGGCCCTCTCCCCTCACTCGCTGCCTAGTCACCACCCAGACAGGCCTCTCCCCTCACAGACGGCCCTGCCAGCCGGAGGCCCCAGCCGGGACCCCAAAGCGCCTGCTGGGTGACGACAGACCTCTGAGGCCACAGGCTGACGAGGGATACCCACTCCTCCTTCTGGTCCCCTACTCCTTCCTCTTGGGGCCTTCCCAAGGGTAGATTGGGCCCAGCCAGCCCTTTTCACCCCAGCCTAAAGAGCCCAACCCAACCTTGGTGGGACCTGTGGCTGGCTGGATTTGGAGAGGAGCAGACAGGAACCTCTGAAGTCCCCTGGGGCCCAACGTGGCAGGGATAGGCCAGGCTGGAGGCTTTAGGACACAGGTGGGGGGTGAAATCAGCACTGGGCTCCGGACTGTGCAGGGGAGTCTGTTCAGCTCCCCCTCCCTCAGGGCTGAGGCCAGCTGTCTTGGTAGAGGGGCGGGGTCCAGTCAGCCAAGAGCCCCCCTCACTGGAGCCTCTCCCCTCTGGCACCTCTGTACCCACAGGGCAATGGGATAGGAGGCCACGACCCCTAGTCTGTAGACACCAGAACAGGGGGGAGTCCCTGCCCGAGGTTGGGGGTAAACAGAAAAATGACAAGCCACCCTTTACAACACACCACACAGGGCTGGGGGGGTGGAGCCCTGGCCTGGGGAGGCCGCCCACAATTACCACAGTTTGGGAGTTAGTTAGTTCCCACCCCTGTAAGACTTGACACGTAATCTTCATTTCTGGGGAACTGGCTTAAAGGGGCAGCATCACCCAAAACCTGGGATCTTGGCTAAGCACCCCTCTGTTATGGGAGCCCCTTCCCCAGGAGAGGGGAGGCTGTGCCCCATGACAACAGAGCTTGGGCCTAGCTGCATTCTCAGGGATGCTCAGAGCAGGATTTGGTCCTTATTACAACTCGGGGGTGGAGGAAAGCAGCAGCTCTTTGTCTAGTTCCCATTCAGAGAGGGACAGGGGCTGGCCTGTTGTCACACAGCCACAAGTCACACAGGTAGGTACCTGCCCACCTAACAAATGTAATCAGGGAATGCAGCAGGTGTGATGCTTAAAGTTGAGGTACTTTTCATCTTTCAAATGCATTTGTGGGCTGGGCATAGGGGCTCACTCCTGTAGTTCCAGCACTTTGGGAGGCAGAGGTGGGCAGGTCACCTGAGGTCAGGAGTTCGAGGCTAGCCTGGCCAACATGGTGAAGCCCTGCTAAACACACAAAAATTAGCTGGGCATGGTGGCAGACACCTGTAATCTCAGCTACTCAGAAGGATGAGGTAGGAGAATCGCTTGAACCTGGGAGGCGGAGGCTATAGTGAGCTGAGATCGCGCCACTGTGCTCCAGCCTGGGTGACAGAACGAGACTTCATCTCAAAAAAAAAAAAATGCATTAGTCTTCTCTGTTTTGGCCTATGACATAAGGGGGACAGATTAAGTTATAGAGGGAGGATGTGAAGCCCGGAGAAAGATGGGACTTGCCTGAGGTAACACAGTAGGTCACAGAACTGTGTTGGGGACCTGGCTGGGCTGCCTCCAGCGCCTCTGCTGTAGCACACCCAGCCTTCACTGTTCCAAGGAGAGCCCGGCCTCAAAGGTGTGGGTGCTTCGGGGTTAAGGCTGCCTTGGGGTTCAATCGTTCTGTTGCTGTGCCGCCTCAGCCTCCTTTTTTCTTCCCATCCCCAGGTATGCCACGGACCACAATGTGGACAACACCACAGAGATGCTGCAGGAGTGGCTGGCGGCTGTGGGTGATGACTATGCCACTGTGGTCTGGAGGCCCGAGGGGGAGCCCAGGTGCTGATCTGAGGGGAAGGGTGCTGGGGAAGATGGAGAACAGCTGCAGCCTGGAGAGGAAAAGGGACAGCCCAGTGCCACAGCCTCCAAGCCAGGGCTCGGTCCACTGCCCTGCAGAGAGAGAGGGGCATAGACCCCATGGGAACATCTCACCTCTCTACCCCCTCAGGTCCTACCCAGACGAAGAGGGTCCCAAGCACTGGACCAAAGAAAGGCACCAGTTTCTGATGGAGTTGAAGCAGGAAGCCCTAACCTTTGCCAGGGACTGGGGGGCTGACTATATACTGGTAAGGAAGTCTGGCTAGAATTGGGCTACTGAAAGGTGGTAGTTTCTGTCCCTGATAGAAATATGGGTGCAGGCTGGTTGCAGTGGCTCATATCTGTAATCCTAGCACTTTGGGAGGCCAAGGCAGGTGGATCTTGAGGTCAGGAGTTCGAGACTAGCCTGACCAACATGGTGAAAACCTGTCTCTACTAAAAATACAAAAATTAGCTGGGCATGGTGGTGCCCACCTGTAATCCCAGCTCCTTGGGAGGCTGAGGCAGGAGAATTGCTTGAACCCGGGAGGTGAAGGTTGCAGTGAGCCAAGATCGAGCCACTGCAATGCAGCCTGGGCAACAGAGCAAGATTGTCTCAGAAAAAAAAAACAAAAAAAACAATAATTAGTTGGGCGTCATGGCAGGTACCTGTAATCCCAGCTACTCGGGAGGCTGAGGCACAAGAATTACATGAAACTGGGAGGCAGAGATTGCACTGAGCCAAAATCACACCACTGCGCTCCAGCCTGGGTGACAAGAGTGAAACTCAGTCTCAAAAAAAAAAAAAAAAAAGAAAGAAAGCTGGGTGTTACTAACCCACCTGAAGACTGGATCCTTTAGCAGGCCAGAGCCCAGACCAGATGTTCGGCCTGGATCCCTATGTTAGAGGTCAGACTAGGTTTTAAGCCTGGACCTCTCAGTTAGATCCCATTGTATATACTATATTTAGCCTCAATTCCTGGGCGAGAGCCCAGGGTATAAACTGAGCCTGGATCTCTGACCTAGAGCTCAGAGTAGGTGGACCCATTTTCTTTTCTTTTCTTTTTTTTGAGACGGAGTTTTGCTCTTGCTACCCAGGCTGGAGTGCAATGGCGTGATCTCGGCTCACCACAACCTCCGCCTCCTGGGTTCAGGCAATTCTCCTGCCTCAGCCTCCTGAGTAGCTGGGATTACAGGCACACACCATCATGCCCAGCTAATTTTTTGTATTTTTAGTAGAGACGGGGTTTCACCATGTTGACCAGGATGGTCTCGATCTCTTGATCTCGTGATCCACCCGCCTCGGCCTCCCAAAGTGCTGGGATGACAGGCGTGAGCCACCACGCCTGGCCTTTTCTTTTCTCTTTTAAAATGGAGTCTTGCCCTGTCTCCAGGCTGGAGTGCAGTGCAGTGGTGCGATCTCAGCTCACTGCAACCTCAGCCTCCAGATTCAAGTGATTCCCCTGCTTCAGCCTCCCAAGTAATTGGGAATACAGGTGCCCATCACCATGCTCAGCTAATTTTTTGTATTTTAGTAGAGACAGGATTTTACCATGTTGGCCAGGATAGTCTCAATCTCCTGACCTCATGATCCATCTGCCTTGGCCTCCCAAAGTGCTGGGATTACAGGTGTGAGCCACGGTGCCTGGCCTGGATCCATTTTCTAAGCCAGATCCGAGATAAAGATCTTAGATCAGCAACTCAGGTGTAATCTCTGGACCCAATCCCTAAGTCAGTGCCCCAGACTAGATCGTTTGTCCAGAAACAGATCTACTGAGTGTGTTAGACCTCTGTAGGAGCATTTCCACTGGATCCTAGGAGCCACACTGGGTCTCCGGCAGGACCACTCAGTGAACTCCTTGGGGGGCTGCAACTCAGGCTGGAGCCTGTGACGTACCCTCCCCAAAGTTTGCAGACACAGACAACATTCTGACCAACAACCAGACTCTTCGGCTTCTGATGGGGCAGGGGCTTCCCGTGGTGGCCCCAATGCTGGACTCCCAGACCTACTACTCCAACTTCTGGTGTGGGATCACCCCCCAGGTAAGGCCGGGTTGGGGACCTTGGGTGGATTGAGATCCTGGAAGGATGGACGTGGAGAGCAGAGAGCCTGAAGGCCTTGGGGGCAGGGACAGGGGATCCCTCTCACAGTACAAAGCATCCCTTTCCTCCAGGGCTACTACCGCCGCACAGCTGAGTACTTCCCCACCAAGAACCGCCAGCGCCGGGGCTGCTTTCGTGTCCCCATGGTCCACTCCACCTTCCTGGTGTCCCTGCGGGCTGAAGGGGCAGACCAGATTGCCTTCTACCCCCCACATCCCAACTACACTTGGCCTTTCGACGACATCATCGTCTTCGCCTATGCCTGTCAGGCTGCTGGTGAGGACCAGCCCTCCTCAAGCGTGCCTTGGAGGCCTCTGTGCCTTTGCTGTTTTGTCTGCTTAGCGTGCCCTTCCCTACCCTTGAGCGTTCAGTGGAGGCCTCTGTGCTTTTGCTGTTTTGTCTGCTTAGTGTGCCCTTCCCGACTCTGCATGTCATCCTCTTGACTCATGAGTCAGAACTTTGGGTCATGAGTTTTCTTTTCTCTCTCTCTTTTTTTTTTTTTTTGGTGTGATCTCAGCTGATCGAAACCTCCACCTCCTGGGCTCAAGCAGTCCTTCTGCCTCAGCCTCCCAAGTAGCTGGGACACTGCAGGTGCATGCCACCATCCTTGGCTAATTTTTGTAGAGATAGGGTTTTACCATGTTTCCCAGGCTGGTCTCCAACTCCTGGGCTCAAGCAATCCACTGACCTTGGCCTCCCAAAGTGCTGGGATTACAGGTGTGAGCCACTGCACCTGGCCAGTAATTACTTTAAAGATGAAAGTTACGACCGGGCAGGGTGGCTCACGCCTGTAATCCCAGCACTTTGGGAGGCCGAGGCAGGTGGATCACGAGGTCAAGAGATCGAGACCATCCTGGTCAACATGGTGAAACCCCATCTCTACTAAAAATACAAAAAATTAGGGCCGGGCGTGGTGACTCACGCCTATAATCTCAGCACTTTGGGAGGCCAAGGCGGGTGGATCACGAGGTCAAAAGATCCAGACCATCCTGGTGAAACCCCGTCTCTACTAAAAATGCAAAAAAAATTAGCTGGGCATGGTAGCATGTGCCTGTAATCCCAGTTCCTCAGGAGGCTGAGGCAGGAGAATTGCCTGAACCCAGGAGGCGGAGGTTGCGGTGAGCCGAGATCGCGCCATTGCACTCCAGCCTGGGTAACAAAAGTGAAACTCTGTCTCAAAAAAAAAAAGAGATTGAGACCATTCTGGTTAACAAGGTGAAACCCTGTCTCTACTAAAAATACAAAAATTAGCTGGGCGTGGTGGTGCATGCCTGTTGTCCCAGCTATTTGGGAGGCTGAGTCAGGAGAATTGCTTGAATCCAGGAGGCGGAGGTTGTGGTGAGCCAAGATCCTGGCATTGTACTCCAGCCTGGGTAACAAGAGCGAAACTCCATCTCAAAAAAAAAGATGAAAGTTACTAGAAAGTATTTGGGTATGGCCGGACAAGGTAGCTGACACCTGTAATCTCAAACTTATGGGAGGCTGAGGCTGGTGGGTAATCACTTGAGCTCAGGAGTTTGAGATCAGCCTGGACAACATGGCAAGACCTCATCTCTTTTCTGCCTTTTTTTTTTTTGAGAGGGAATCTTGCTCTGTGGCCGAGACTGGAGTGCAGTGGTGCAATCTTGACTCACTGCAGCCTTGACCTCCTCCCCCACCTCAGCCACCTGTGTACCTGGGACCACAAGTACACATCGCTATGCCCAGCTAATTTTTGTAGTTTTTGTAGAGATGGGGTTTTGCGCTGTTGCCCAGGTTGGTCTTGAACTCCTGGGCTCAAGTGATCTGCCCCTCTCAGCCTCCCAAAGTGCTGCAATTACAGGTATGAGCCGCCACCCCTGGCTGCGAGACCCCATCTCTACAAAAAAATTTAAAAATTAACCTGGCGTATTGGCCCATGCCTGTAGGAGGATGTCTTAGCCTCCTTGGGAGGCTGAGGCAGGAGGATTGCTTGAGCCCAGGAGGTCAAGGCTGCAGCAAGCTGTGATCATGTCACTGTACTCCAGCCTGGGCAACACAGGATGAGACCCTGTCTCAAAAAAAAAAAAGAAGAAACTGTTTGGATGTGAATGGAATAAATCTAGTCCTGAAGATGAGAGGGAGGGGTGGAGACATCCATGTTGGAATTAATTTCTTGAGAAGGCTGCAGAGAAATGTGTAACTCTGACCTTGAAGACTGTCTGGTGGGTGGAGAAGAACTTCGCTGGTGGTCAGGATAAATTAGAGGTGACGATTTAATCAAGTAATCAGTGGCAACCAGTGAGGAGGGGGTTGTGATTCTTTGTTTTTTGCTGGAGAAGTCTGCAATGTGCAGATGTGTGAGAAGAAATCTTATCAAGTGCAAAAAGTGAGTGAAGGTGAAACAATTGGAGGAGAAAAAACAGGAAACAAAAGCATTCTGTTATTTTTCATTGCTATCCCTACTTCAAGTGACAGCCGTTGTTAATTGGTCAATGGTTTGAAGGAATTCAGTCTCCAACAGCCAGCTATTGGCATCCCGGCTCCCAGACAGGCTCTGTGCTCAATGTTGGGAATAGGATTAGCTTTTATTTGGTTTTTGTTTGTTTTGAGACAGAGTCTTGCTCTGTCGTCCAGGCTGGAGTGCAGTGGCTCAATCTTGGCTCACTGCAACCTCTGCCTCCAGGGTTCAAGTGATTCTCCTGCCTCAGCATCCCAAGTAGCTGGAATTACAGGCACCCACCACCACATCCAGCTAATTTTTGTATTTTTAATAGAGATGGGGTTTCACCATGTTGGCCAAGCTGGTCTCAAACTCCTGACCTTAAATGATCTGCCCACCTCTGTCTCCCAAAGTGCTGGGATTACAGGCGTGAGCTACTGTGCCCAGCCTGGGTTAGCTTTTAAATTGGCACCGTATGCCTGCCCCTGAGGATAATTAAGATAAAGGTAACAAATATTAGACAGGCTCAGTGGCTCATGCCTGTAATCTCAGCACTTTGGGAGACAGAGGCGGGCGGATCACCTGAGGTCAGGAGTGTGAGAACAGCCTGACCAACATGGCGAAACCCCATCTCTACTAAAAATACAAAAATTAGCCGGGCATGGTGGCATGTGCCTGTAATCCCAGCTACTCAGGAGGCTGAGACATAAGAATCACTTGAACCCGGGAGACAGAGGTTGTAATGAGCCAAGATTGCACCATTGCACTCCAGCCTGGGGGTCAGAGCGAGATTTTGTCTCAAAAAAAAAAAAAAGGAAAAGTTATTGAAGCCAGGGGAAGGCCATTCTGGCTGCCAGGTGAAAGAAATTGTGAAGGGGGAACCCTAGAGGGTGTGGGGTGAAGTGGAGGGGTCTGTGGAAAAGGCGATGGCCCTTGGATCTTGGTGGGGTGGTGAGGATTGGCAGAGATGGGAGGATTTAGGGACAGAGCAGTGGGGCTCGCTGGTATCCTGTGGCTGTGGTGGGGAGGAGTTTGCCTGCTCCTGCCTCACCTTGATACCTGAGGACAGGGACTCAGTCTTGCTCACTGATGTACCCCTGGCTCCCAGCAGGTGCCTTGGACAGCTCTGTTGAATGAATGAACCATCTCAACAGAAAGACCCCTTAGATATTGTGTGAGCCAAGCCCTTTCTCCCTCTGGTCCCACAGGTGGGGAAACTGAGGCCCAGAGAAGACCGACACGTTGGGTCACTGGCAGTGCTGGGCCTAGGACCTCTCAGCTAGGTTCTGAGAGCCCTACCCTGCATTCCAGCTTTCACTCAGCCTATCTCTGCAGGGGTCTCGGTCCATGTGTGCAATGAGCATCGTTATGGGTACATGAATGTGCCTGTCAAATCCCATCAGGGGCTAGAAGACGAGAAAGTCAACTTCATCCATCTGATCTTAGAAGCACTAGGTGAGGGCTGGGGAACTGTTCCGTCTACCTGCTGCCACGACTCCGTGCCTCCCCACGGTGCTCCTTTCCCTAGGCCCTGAACTGAAGGGGGCATTGGCCTTGGGTTCTAGCCTTACCCCTAACCCATTCCATGACTCTGAGCCGCTTTCCCCGTTGGGCCTCAGTCTCGCATCTCCACAGTGGGAGCAGGTGGATCCCGTGATCTCTGAGGACCCATCCTGTGTGTTCTGCTGAGGGGGCAGGAATGAGGCTGGGGGCTAGGACTTCAGGGTGACTGCTAGCAGGAGCCAGTAGGGACTCATGCTTGGGGCGTGCTTCCCTTTGCAGTGGACGGGACCCACATGCAGGCCTCAGCTCATGTGACTCGGCCCTCTAAGAGGCCCAGCAAGATGGGGTTTGATGAGGTAAGTCCCTCAGCCTGTGAGCTTGGGGTTAGGAGGTGGCTGGGCTCCCTTCCCTCTCCCCTGCACTTACCGTCCACTCCTTGCCTCCTCCAGGTCTTTGTCATCAGCCTGGCTCGCAGGCCTGACCGTCGGGAACGCATGCTGACCTCGCTCTGGGAGATGGAGATCTCTGGGCGGGTGGTGGATGCTGTGGATGGCAGGTGAGGCTGCCTGGGATGGGGCCCTGGGCGCTCAGGGGAGCAGTGTGATCCATCTCTGACCCCTGCTAGGACTGGGAAAAGCAGACAGATTGAATGAATTTCCTGTCCCAGGAAATATCCAAATAGGGCCTGAGTAATACCCTCTCAGGGAGTTCCAGAACAGACACACATGGGAGAAGATGCCCTCCCTCTGCTCACCGGAGGAGAGCACAGTGGCTGAGGCTCCAGGGCCTGGGTTCCAGTTCTGCCAGTTACCAAATATGTGACCTCCAGCCAGCTACCCCCATCTCTCAGCCCTTTTGTGTAAATAGCAGATAACTGTGCCCTTCTCTTAGGGTTTCGTGAGTTTAGTGAAATTAGCCAGGGCTGGACACATGGTAAGTTTCCAAAGGATTAGGTGCCTTTGGTATTTTTACTCTCCATCCTGGACTTGAGTTCCTGATGGGTGGGGGTTGGAAAGGCCAGCCATGTTCCCCAGGGAAATCCAGAGGCCAGACTCTTCCTGCCACCGGGGTCTCATGGCCCCATATGTATGTCTGCTGCTATTTGCTTCGAGTGCTCAGCTCTTTTTTTTTTTTTTTTTTTTTTTTTGAGACAAGCGTCTCACTCTGTTGCCTAGGCTGAAGTCCAGTGGCACAAACATGGCTCACTGCAGCCTTACACTCCTGGGCTCAAGCAATCCTCCCACCTCAGCCTTCTGAGTAACTGGGATTATAGGCAGGCACCATCACACCTAGCTAATTAAAAATATATATATTTTTTGGAGACAGAGTCTTGCTCTGTCACCTAGGCTGGAGTGCAGTGGCATGATCTCAGCTCACTTCAGCATCCGCCTCCCAGGTTTTAAGCAATTCTCCTGCCTCAGACTCCTGAGTAGCTGGGATTACAGGTTTGCATCACCACGCCCAGCTAAAAAAATATAATGTTTTTTATTTTATTTTATTTTATTTTTGAGACGGAGTTTCGCTCTTGTTACCCAGGCTAGAGTGCAATGGCACAATCTCGGCTCACCACAACCTCCGTCTCCTGGGTTCAGGCAATTCTCCTGCCTCAGCCTCCTTAGTAGCTGGGATTACAGGCGCGCACCATCATGCCCAGCTAATTTTTTGTATTTTTAGTAGAGACAGGGTTTCACCAAGTTGACCAGGGTGGTCTCGATCTCCTGACCTCGTGATCCACCCACCTCAGCCTCCCAAAGTGCTGGGATTACAGGTGTGAGCCACCGTGCCTGGCCTGTTTCTATTTTCATAGAGACAGGGTCTTACTCTGTTGCCTAGGCTAGTCTTGAACTCCTGGCCTCAAGTGACCCTCCTGCCTCAGCTTCCTGAGTAACTGGGATTATAGGCATTCACCATCCTGCCCAGCTAATTAAAAAATTTTTTTGGCTGAGTGCAGTGGCTCACGTCTGTAATCCCACCATTTTCGGAGGCTGAAACATGTGGATCACCTGGGGTCAGGGGTTTGAGACCAGCCTGGCCAACATGGTGAAACCCTGTCTCTACTGAAAATACAAAAATTAGCCAGGTGTGGTGGTAGGCACCTGTAATCTCACCTACTTGGGAGGCTGAGGCAGGAGAATTGCTGGAACCCATGAGGCAGAGGTTGCAGTGAGCCGAGATCATGCCACTGCGTTTCAGCCCATGCCGACCACAGCAAGACTTCGTCTGAAAAAAAAATTTTTTTTTTTGAGAGATGGGGTCTCTCTCTGTTGCCCAGGCTGGTCTTTAGCTCCTGGCCTCAAGCAAGCCTCCCACCTTGGCCTCTCAAAGTATTGGGATTTACAGGTGTGAGACCCCATGTATCCCAAGGTCTCTTGACCATAGGATATTCATCCTTTGCTTGGGCCTCTGCCCAAGAAGTATCTATCATGTTACCACATTCATCCTGGAGTGCCTGCCCCTCAGGCAGCCCCCTAGCACCCCACCCTTTCCTCAAGAGTCACCCTTGTCCTATCGTATTAGGAGACATCCTAATAGTTATCCTCTCAGAACTCCCAAGGTGGCCAGGTGTGGTGGCTCACGCCTGTAATCTCAGTACTTAGGGATGCCGAGCAGGCAGATCACCAGAGGTCAGGAGTTCAAGACCAGACTGGCCCACATGGTAAAACCCTGTCTCTACTAAAAATACAAAAAATTTAAAAAAAATTATCCAGGCATCATGGTGTGTGCCTGTAATCCCAGCTATTCGGGAGGCTGAGGCAGGAGAATCACTTGAACCCAGGAGGTGGCAGTTGCAGTGAGCTGAGATGAAGCCACTGCACTCCAGCCTGGCAATAGTGGCTCTAGTTCCCCAGGCGCAGTCCCTTAATAGCTTTGGGTCACACGAAGGCATTACTAGGTTGAAACCTTCTTTAAACCTGACTTCAGTATGTATTGTCCCCGACATGCACAGGCCTGGCCCCTCTGGAGGGGTCTCTGGCAGGCATTCCTCACCCCACCACACCTGTGTCCCTCAGGATGCTCAACAGCAGCGCCATCAGAAGCCTCGGCGTGGACCTGCTCCCGGGCTACCAGGATCCCTACTCGGGCCGCACTCTGACCAAGGGCGAGGTGGGCTGCTTCCTCAGCCACTATTCCATCTGGGAAGAGGTAAGGGTACCTGCTTCCCCCACCCACAGCCTTTGGGGAGAACGGGGGTGCCCATTTTCATTCTTCAGTCTCTCTTGAGCACCCACTATGTGCTAGCAGATATTCTGCTCTGAGAACACAGAGAAGGACAGGAACTATGCATGTCTACTCCTTGCAATAAAGGGATCCCCCTGGGGCTCAGGGACCAGAGGGGGCTTACAGAAATCAAGAAAACCAAGCTTGCAGTGGAGGGGAGAGATGTGGGCCACTTTGAGAGGTGCCTCGTGTGGGAGGGGTCAGAGTGGGCCTCACCATTGAGGGGTTGGGGGGAAGAAGCTTCTAGGCAGAAGAGAACAGTGGATGCCAAGGCCCTGAGGTGGGAAGGTGTTTACGAGCAGAAAGAAGGAAGCCTGGGGCTTAGCATGTGCTCAATACTTGGCCAGGAAGCCTTAGCCCCAGGGGAAAGGTTGCTGGAAATGCTGGAGAAGACAGGGGAACTGGGTCCTCCAAGGGCAGCCCCTCTAGGAGATGGAGCATGAATTTCTTGTTTTGATTTTCTGCTTAGCCAAAATATATGTGTATGTGAGCATTATGGCTTCTGTTTTTTGTTTTGAGACGAATTATTGCTCTGTCGCCCAGACTGGAGTGCAGTGGTGTGATCTTGGCTCACTGCAAACTTGACCTCCCAGGTTCAAGTGATTCTCCTACCTCGGCCACCCAAGTAGCTGGGATTACAGACCTGTACCACCATGCCTGACTAATTTTAAATTTTTAGTAGAAACGGGGTTTCGCTATGTTGGCCAGGCTGGTCTCAAACTCCCGACCTCAGGTGATCCGCCTGCCTCAGCCACCAACAGTGCTGTGATTACAGGCATGAGCTACCACGCCCAGCCTATATTGGCTTTTTTACTGTCTCTGAACAAATTAGAGGATGGCATTGTTCACTACTTTTTTGGGGGGCGGACAGGGTCTTACTCTGGCACCCAGGCTGGAGTGCAATGGTGTGATCTTGGCTCATGGCATCCTGGACCTCCCGGGTTCAAGCAGTTATCTCGTCTCAGCCCCCCGAGTAGCTGCAAATCTAGGCGTGCACCACCACACCAGCTAAATTTTGTATTTTTTTGTGGAGATGGGGTTTCATCATGTTGTCCAGGCTGGTCTCGAACTGAGCTCAAGTGATTCCACCCGCCTCAGTCTCCAAAAGTGCTGGGATTACAGGCATGAGCCACCGCGCCTGGCTTCACCACTTTCTTAGCTAATCTCCTTTTCTTTTCACAAAAGTTATCAAAAGTAGTTTTCCAAAAGTTATTCCAAAGTAACTTTTCCAAAAGTTATCAAAAGTACTTTTTCTTCGGGATGTTCAGGGCCAGGGTCTTCCCAACCCCCATCCAGCCCAGCTTCCTTTAGAAAATCGCAGGAGGCCAAAGTGACAAGCTGGGCCCTGGTGTTCCACAGATGCAGGTTCACATCCCAGCTCTGCCACTTTCTGGCTGTGGGTCCTTGGACAGGCACGTGTCCACGCCCTTCCTGCAATTGAGGATCATCGTATCCTGCCTCCCGAGGGTCCTCAGAGATACGCAGTAGCCCAGCCCTGGGGTATAGTAGCACTCAGGGGATGTAGCAAGGGCCATGGTTACCATTATAATTCTATCTGGGGAGCCTCAAATGCCAGAGTGAGGTTGGGATTTCAGGTCCCGGGCAATGAGGCCCCCAGCAGGCTTTGGGGAACTCTGTGATGTGGCCAGGGCAACGGAGGCCAGGCAGAGGCTGTGGCTTCAGTGTGGAGGGAGGGGGATAGCTCAGCTTCGAAGAGCCATCTCCTGCCCCATCGTGTACCACAGGTGGTTGCCAGGGGCCTGGCCCGGGTCCTGGTGTTTGAAGATGACGTGCGCTTTGAGAGCAACTTCAGGCGGCGGCTGGAGAGGCTGATGGAGGATGTGGAGGCAGAGAAACTGCGGTGGGACCTGATGTAGGCAGCCTGCACCCTCAGGGACAAGGGGGCGGGTCTCTGGAATCTGCCTTTTCCTGCTTGGGACCCTGGCCGGCCCATCCCCCCAGAGCCTGGCCCTATAAGGGGATGCAGGAGGGTCCCGTGACACCCAGGACCTAAGTGACTCCTGGGCCCCTTGGTGTCACTTACAGCTACCTTGGGCGGAAGCAGGTGAACCCTGAGAAGGAGGCGGCTGTGGAGGGGCTGCCAGGCCTGGTGGTGGCTGGGTACTCCTACTGGACGCTGGCCTATGCCCTGAGCCTGGCAGGCGCTCGCAAGCTGCTGGCCTCACAGCCTCTGCGCCGCATGCTGCCCGTGGATGAGTTCCTGCCCATCATGTTCGACCAGCACCCCAAGTGAGGCTCTGACGGGGGCCGGGTGTGGCAGGGCAGGGGTGTCCCTCCAGGAACCCACCTCCATCAGCAGGAAGTCCCCTCACTGGGCAGATGGGGAGACTGAGACTGGTAAGGCCAAGTCACTTGGTCCAGGTCACCAAGGAGTGGCTCAGCCTAGCCTTAGAGTACACCAATCTAGGTGTGGATTCTGCGCAGCAGATGCAGGCTTTTCTTTTTTCTTTTTTTTTTTTTTTTCATTTTAATCGAGTTAAAATGAAACTCCTGTTGCCCAGGCTAGAAGCAGTGGCATCATCTTGACTCAGTGAACCCTCTGCCTCCCAAGTTCAAGCAGTTAGTCCTGGCTCAGCCTCCCAAGTAGCTGGGATTACAGGCGAGTGCCACCACACCCTGCTAATTTTTTTTTTTTTTTTTGAGACAGAGTGAAACTCTGTCTCCCAGGCCGGAATACAGTGTCATGATCTTGACTCACTGTAACCTCCGCCTCCCACGTTCAAGTGATTTTCCTGCCTCAGCTTCCTGAGGAGCTGGGATTATAGGCACATGCCACCACACCCAGCTAATTTTTTTGTATTTTTAGTAGAGACAGGGTTGCACTATGTTGACTAGGCTGGTGTCAAACTCCTTGACCTCAAGTGATAAGCCCACCTGGGCCTCCCAGAGTGCTGGGGTCACAGATGTGAGCCACTGCTCCTAGCCTTAATTTTTATATTTTTAGTAAAGATGAGGTTTCATCATGTTGGCCAGGCAGCACACGCAGTTTTTAATCAATTGACTTCCCTGTTCTCAGCCTCAGTTTCCTCATCTGGAAAATGGGGTTAGTGGAAGTCCCACTGCTCAGGGCTGTTGTGGGGACTAGATAGCAGGGAGTGAGGTGCTCTGGGCAGGAAAGGTGCCTGGCCTCTGGCAGGTGTGTGGCCTGGGAGTATGGGCCCACCTCAGTCCCCCTGAGCTGTCCTCTCACCTCACAGTGAGGAGTACAAGGCACACTTCTGGCCGAGGGACCTGCTGGCCTTCTCAGCCCGGCCCCTGCTCACTGCCCCTACCCACTATGCCGGGGACGCCGAGTGGCTCAGTGACACCGAGACATCCTCTCCGTGGGATGACGACAGCGGCCGCCTCATCAGCTGGAGTGGCTCCCAAAAGGCCCTGCGCAGCCCCCACCTGGACCTGGATGGCAGCAGTGGGCATAGCCTCCAACCCCAGCCTCGAGATGAGCTCTAGGTGAGGCTGGGGTGGGAAGGGGCCCCAGCCCCATAGGCCTTGGCTTTCTGTCCTCTTTGATGGCATGACTATGTCTGGGGCTGTTTTCCCCTTCTTAGCCTTCTCTCTCCCTGCCTCTATGTCTTTTTTTTTTTTTTTTTTTTTTTTGAGACAGAGTCTTGCACTGTCGCCCAGGCTGGAGTGCAGTAGCATGATCTTGGCCCACTGCAACCTCTGCCTCTTGGGCTCAAGCCATTCTCCTGCCTCAGTCTCTTGAGTAACTGGGATTACAGGCACCCACCACCAGGCCCAGCTGCTTTTTGTATTTTTAAAAATTTTTATTTACTTATTTATTTTGAGACAGAGTCTTGCTCTGTTGCCCAGGCTGGAGTGCAGTGGCGTGATCTCAGCTCTCTACAACCTCTACCTTCCTTATTCTGGGTTCAAGCGATTCTCCTGTCTCAGCCTCCTGAGTATCCGGTACTACAGGCGCCCACCACCATGCCCAGCCTCTTGTGTTTTTAGTAGAGATGGGGTTTCACCGTGTTGACTAGGCTGGTCTTGAACTCCTGACTTCAAATATCTGCCTGTCTTGGTCTCCCAAAGTTCTGGAATTATAGACGTGAGGCACTGTGCCTGGCCTCTGTGTCATCTCTAATTGTACTTTCAGCTGTCTCTGCATCTCTCTCTAGCTCTTTCTCTCTCTGCCTGTCTCTGCCTCTGTTTTTCCGTATTTGTCAGTGTCTGTCTCTCTCTGATTTCTGTCTGACTGTAATTCGCTTTCTCTTCCTGCTTCTCCTATCCCACCAGGTCCAGGTGATGACTGCAAAGGAGTGCCCAGGAGCAGGCCACTGCTGCCCAGGGAGCAGAAGAGAAGATTGTTGGCAGGGGCCACAGATCTAGTCAGACCTGCCGCCACCTTGGGCACTGCCACTCTGCCCTCTGGACCAGTCTTACTTCGGGAGAAACCACTCAGAGATGGATCCCATTCCCTAAAAGTCTCACAGCAAAGGGGCAGGACTCCCAGGCCCCTTGACCCTGCCTGGCCTGATTCAGGGCCTGGTGGCCCCAGCCTTCTATTTCAAGCTGGGCAGAGCCCAGGAGCCCTTCCCTCCCTAAGGACTCAGCCAGTGGGCCCCTCTGTCCCCTTCTACCTCCACCTCAGGCCCCTCCCCTACCTTGATGTTTGGGTCTTCCCAGCACTCTCCTCCCTGGCTGGTGCAAAGTGCAGGGGGCTGGAGGAGGACCCTTGCAGACCTGTTGCCCAGCACATAGTAGGCCCTCATTAAAAGCCATTTACACTGTATATATATATATACAACCTCCTGGGCTCAAGTGATCCTCCCACTTTAGCCTCCCACATAGCTGGACCACAGGTACATGCCACCACGCCTGGCTAGATTTTTTTTTTTGTATTTTTTGTAGGGACTGGGTTTCGCATGTTGCTCAAGCTGGTCTCAAACTCCTGGACTCAAACAATCTACCTATTTTGGCCCCCAGAGTACTGGGATGAGAGGCGTGAGCCACTACATCCTGCTTCTCTCTATATATATTTTTTGAGACGGAGTTTCACTCTTGTTGCCCAGGCTGGAGTGCAATGGTATGATTTTGGCTCACTGCAACCTCCATCTCCTAGGTTCAAGCAATTCTCCTGCCTCAGCCTCCCGAGTAGGTGGAATTACAGGAATACAATACCACACCCGGTTAATTTTTTTTGTCTTTTTAGTAGAGATGGGATTTCACCATGTTGTTCAGGCTGGTCTTAAACTCCCGACCTCAGGTGATCCACTCACTTTGACTTCCCAAAGTGTTGGGATTACAAGTGTGAGCCACCATGCCCAGCTGGTTTGTTTATTTTTGAGACAGAGTCTCACTCTGTCACCCAGGCTGGAGTGCAGTGGCACAATCTCAGCTCACTGCAACCTCCACCTCTCAGGTTCAAGCGATTCTCCTGCCTCAGCCTCCCTGGTAGCTGGGATTACAAGCATGTGCCACCATGCCCGGCTAATTTTTATGTTTTTGCTTTACATATATATGTATTTTTTTTTCTTTTTTTTTTTGTTGTTGAAACAGAGTCTCGCCCTGTCACTCAGGCTGGAGTCCAATGGTGCGATCTTGGCTCACTGCAACCTCTGCCTCCTGGGTTCAAGCCATACTCCTGTCTCAGCTACCTGAGTAGGTGGGATTACAGGTGCATGCCACCACGCCTGGCTAATTTTTGCTATTTTTAGTAGAGATGGGGTTTTACCATATTCCCCAGGCTGGTCTCGAACTCCTGAGCTCAGGTAATCCACCCACCTCAGCCTCCCAAAGTGCTAGGATTACAGTTGTGAGCCACTGCTCCCAGTCTATTTTTACTTTATATTTTTTAACTCATGACTGAGCCTCTGCATTTCAGCTGGCCTGGGAGGAGGCTTCCTGATCTATGGTTGAACAATTAGAGGGACAGAGGCTGGGGGACAAGCGAGGAGTCAGGCCAATCCAGCATCACCTCTGTGCTGTGTGATCTTGAGTGGGTGCCATCCCCTCCCCGGGCCTTAGTCTACTTTGGTCACTGTGGCTGGTTGGGTATAGAGTGGCCTGCCCTGAGCTCGACCCACAGTGAGTGCTCTCACCCAGTAGGGCTGATGTGGTCATCCCTGAACTGATTACCTGCCTCACCTTGCTGGTCAGGGTGGGCCCAGCCAGTCCAAGGGCTGCTGAATCCCCCAGCCCTTTGGATCATCTCTTGGGCAGCTGAAACCCTGGTTGAGGGAAAAAGGCACCCCCTGGGAGGGGCTGGGGGAGATCCCTGGTTCTCCTCTGGCACTAACTAGTGTGGCCACCAGAGGGCACTAGGTGGCAGAGCCTGAACTTTGTGGGCAGGATGCTCTTTCACGGGGAAGCCGGCATGGGCCATTTTGAAGCTCCCCTTGGTGCTGCTAGGTGACCTGCAGCAGCTCTGTGTTCTTCTGCTCTTCTGACAGGAACTGCAAGCTGGAGGTCTCCCCTGCCCTCAGAGAGTCGGGCTTCTGGGCCCAGCCACTGTCTGCCATGCCCGCACTCAGGCAGCTGGAGGTGTGGGAGGGGCGATGGCTCCTGGCCTTGGCCATGGCTGCCTTGGCCTCCACCTGTGTAGGACTGTGGCACCAATATCTCCAGGCTCCCTGCTTCAGAGTAGACCCGTTCCTGCTCCTCTTCCATGGCAGCCCCTGACTTGGTTGTGTGAGCACCTGGTCCTGGCAGAGTCCGACAGGCGTTCCCAGAGGTTGGGGTATACCTTGGTTCTGTCCTGGAGGTGAGGACCAGGACTTGGCATGGCAGAGAGAAGGCTCTTGGACTGGAGCTGTTGATGGTGCTATATTCCTTCTAAGATGAAAGCCATTCATTCTGGATGGCTATGACCTTGAGCAACTCACTTCTCTCCAGGCTCCGGATGTCCCCTCTACTCATTAGTTAACATTTCTTAACTACTTCCAAGATCAGGCCTTTGGGGATTCAGCAGTGAATGAAACTGACAAAAAAACCCTGACCTCATTAAGCTGACATCTTTTTTTTGAGATGGAGTCTTGCTCTGTCACCCTCTGTTACCATGCCTGGCCTAAACTGACATTCTAATGAGGGAGACAGACAAAAACAAGGAAAGATTAGAGGGTTTGAATTGCTATAGAGAAAAATGAGAAGGAGGAGATAGAAAGTAAGATCTGAGAAATTAATATCTGAACAGAGACTTGCAGGAGGGGGCCAGGCGCAGTGGCTCACACCAATAATTCTAGCACTCTGGGAGGTCAAGGTAGGCGGATCACCTGAGGTCAGGAGTTGGAGACCAGCCTGGCCAACATGGTGAAACCCCGTCTCTACTAAAAATACAAAATGTTGCCAGGTGAGGTAGCTCATGCCTGTAATCCCAGCACTTTGGGAGGCCGAGGTGGGCGGATCACCTGAGGTCGGGAGTTGGAGACCAGTCTGACCAATATGGAGAAACCCTGTCTCTACTAAAAATAAAAAATATCAGCCAGGTGTGGTGGTGCATGGCTGTAACTCCAGCTACTCAGGAGGCTGAGGCAGGAGAATCACTTGAACACAGGAGGTGGAGGTTACAGTGAGCTGAGGTTGTGCCACTGCACTCCAGCCTGGGTAACAAGAGTGAAACTCTGTCTCCCAAAAAATTAAATAATTAATTAATTAATTAGAGAGTGTGAATTGCTAAAGAGAAAAATTGGAAGGGAGAGATACAAAGTAAGATCTGAGAACTTAACACCTGATCAAAGCCTTGCAAGAGGGGGCCAGGCACAGTCGCTCATGTCTGTAATCCCGGCACTTTGGGAGACCTAGGCGGATGGATCACTGGAGGCCAGGAGTTTGAGACCAGCCTGACCAACATAGGGAAAATACAAAAATTAGCCAGGCATAGTAGCAGGCTCTTGTAATCCCAGGTACTCGGGAGACTGAGGCAGGAGAATCCCCTGAACCTGGGAGGTGGAGATTGCAATGAGTTGAGGTTGTGCCACTGCACTCCAGCCTGGGTGACAGAGTGAGTCTGTCATCTTCCCCACCGAGCCTTCCCAGCTCTTGAGCTCAAGTGATCCTTCTACCTCAGCCTCCTAAAGTTCTGGGATTATAGGCACGAACCACTGCACTGGCCCCCACCACCCCTTTTTTTTGAGATGGCGTCTTGCTCTGTCACCCAGGCTGGAGTGCAATAGCGTGATCTTGGCTCACTTCAACCTCTGCCTTCCAGGGTCAAGCGAATCTCCTGCCTCAGGCCTCCCTAGTATCTGGGACTACAGGAGCATGCCACCACACCAGGCTACTTTTTGTATTTTTCATAAAGATGGGGTTTCACTATGTTGGCCAAGCTGGGCTGATTTTGAATTCCTGATCTCATGATTTGCCTGCCTCAGCCTCCCCAAATCCCTCTGGGATTACAGATGTGAGCCACTATGCCTGGCTGCACCTGGCCTTTTAAAATTATTAATTTATTTTTGAGACAGGATTTCACTCTGTCTTACTCTGTCACCCAGGCAGTGGTGTACTTGCCAGAGTACAGTGGTGCAACCACAGCTTACTGCAGTCTTGATACCTCCTAGGCTCAGCTAAGCCTCCTGCCTCAGCCTTCCAAAGTAGCTGGGATTATAGGCCCGTGCCACCACCCCTGGTTAATTAAAAATTTTTTTTTGTAGAGGTGAGATCTCATTATATTGCCCAGGCTGGTCTTGAATCCTGAGCTCAAGCAATTCCCCCCACCTCAGCCTCCCAAAGTGCTGGGATTACAGGTGTGAGCCACCGTGCCTGGCCAAGGTGATGGCTTTTATAGAAATCTGTTCCCTGACATTTTTTTTTTTGAGATAGAGTTTTGCTCTTGTTGCCTAGGGTGGAATAGAATGGCACGATCTTGGCTCACCACTACCTCTGCCTCCCAGTTCAAGCCATTCTCTTGCCTCAGCCTCCTGAGTAGCTGAGATTACAGGCATGTACCACCACACCTGGCTAATTTTGTATTTTTAGTGGAGACAGAGTTTCTTCATATTGGTCAGGCTGGTCTTGAACTCCTGTCCTCAGGTGATCCACCTGCCTTGGCCTCCCAAAGTGCTGGGATTACAGGCGTGAGCCACTGCACCCGGCCCCTCTGACTTTTTAAGTAGCAAGTAGTACCTTCTCTTTGAATTGTAAGTGCTTCTGGCTCCCTGTCTGCTGAAGTTAGGGGCTATAGGCGCCTTTGCTGAGTGCCCCAAGCTTCAGTTTCCTGAGTTCCTTTGTCTGCTTTTAAAGTTCTTTTGCTTCCCCCTTCACTGGGATGTTGCCAGGATAAAGAAGATGGAATCTGGAGTGGGTCCCACGTGGGCTGTAGTCTTGACATGCTGTGGGGGCTATGTGACCTGAGGCATGCTACTTAGCTTCTCTGAACCTTCATTTCTCTATCTGCAAGTGAAGACGATAGAATACAGTTAAGGCACTGTGAATGGTATTTGATCATGTGTTCAAGTGATTGTCCCAGAGCCCTTAAGTAACGATGCTTTTGCTGTGAGGAACCAGCTCAAACTGGTTTAAGACCACATACAGGCTGACATAACACACAGTGCAAAGCTGTAATCCCAGCACTTCGGGAGACTGAGGTGCATGGATCACTGGAGGCCAGGAGTTTGAAAGCAGCCTGGCCAACATAGGGAAACGCTGTCTCTACTAAAAATACCACAGTTAGCTGGGCCTGGTGGCAGGCACCTATGATCCCAGCTACTCAGGAGACTGAGGCAGGAGAATCGCTTGAACCCAGGAGGCAGAGGTTGCAGTGAGCCGAGATCGTACCACTGTATTTCAGCTTGGGCA